TTTAAGTACTTCAGTACCCTTTTCAAAGAATTCCAGTGCTCATGACTGGGATTGCTCGTAAATCTACTCAACTTATTCACCGGATAGGCCAAGTCTGGTCGTGTACAGTTCGTCAAGTACATTAGACTTCCTATTATCCGTGAATATTCTAATTGAGCAACTGGTTGACCTTTATTGGCTTCCAGGTTTACGCTAAGATCAAGGGGTGTCCTAGACAGAGGACCTTCATAGGCATTAAATTTCTTGAGCACTTTCTCTACGTAATGAGATTGTAACAAGACAATTCCATCTTGGGTTCTGATAATTCTTATTCCAAGAATTACATCAGCTAAACCCATATCTTTCATGTCGAAATTTCTTTTCAACATTCGTTTCGTATCCATGATCACGTCATGGCTACTCCCCATGATCAACATATCGTCTACATGTAGACATACAATTACATATGTATTTGATGTGCTTTTAAAATAACACATTTGTCACATTCGTTGATTTTGAATCCATTTGACAACATCACGTCATCAAATTTCAAATGCCATTGTTTCGGAGCTTGTTTAAGTCCGTAGGAGGATTTGATCAATTTGCACACTTTTTTCTCTTGTCCAGGTGCTACAAAACCTTCGGGTTGTTCCATGTAAATCTCTTCTTCTAATTCACCATTCAAAAATACCGTTTTGACATCCATTTTATGAATCTCAAGATTGTGCAAAGCAGCAATAGAGAGAAGCACTCTAATTGACGCTATACACGTCACAGGTGAATAAGTATCAAAGAAGTCATACCCTTCTTTTTGTTTAAAGCCTTTGACCACTAATCTTGCTTTAAACTTATCAATCGTTCCATCAACTTTGTATTTTCCTTTTTGGATCCACTTGCATCTTAAAGATTTACAACCCGCATGGAGATCAACCAACTCCCAAGTATGATTTTGCATAATGGACTCGATTTCGCTATTTATAGCTTCTTCCCAGAGTGGTCCATCTGGGCTAGACAGAACTTCCTTAATGGAACTCGGTTCATCGTCCAACATATACGTAATAAAATCAGGTCCAAACGTTTTAGCCGTTTTTACCCATTTACCACGTCTCGGTTCCTCTTCTTTATTTTTAGTACCATCTGGTACAGAACCGCTAGCAGTTTCATTCGTCCTTTTGTTAGAACTAGATTCTGCCCTTTCCTTCAAAGGAAAAATATTCTCGAAGAATATAGCATTCCTCGACTCAATAGTGGTACCAACCGATACCTCCGGATTTTCTGATTTATGAACTAGAAATCTATATGCACTACTATTGTATGCATATCTAATAAAAATACAATCGACCGTCTTAGGTCCGATTCTCATTTGTTTTGGTTCAGGAACTGAAACCTTAGCCAAACACCCCCACACTTTCAGGTACTTATAAGACGGTTTACGATTTTTCCACATTTCGTAAGGAGTCTTATTTTTCCCTTTAGGTGGTATTTTATTCAGAATATGATTTGCTGTTAAAACAACTTCCCCCCACATATTCTGGGGTAATCCAGAATTTATCAACATGGCATTCATCATCTCTTTTAAAGTGCGGTTCTTGCGTTCAGCAACACCGTTCGACTGTGAAGAATAGGGGGCCGTCGTTTGATGAATTATGCCATATTCAGAACATATTTGTTCAAAAGGAGCTACATACTCCCCACCCCTATCACTTCGAATTATTTTAATCTTTTTGCCGAGTTGATTTTCAACTTTGGTCTTATAATTTTTAAAAGCTTCCACAGCCTCGTCTTTGCTTCTTAAAAGATAAAAGTAGCAAAACCTTGTGCAATCATCAATAAAAGTTATAAAATATCTTTTACCCGTTCTTGTTTGCACAAACTTCAAGTCACATACATCAGTATGGATTAAACCCAACGGTTCAGTATTTCTTTCCACCGAATGAAATGGTAATTTAGCCATTTTGGCTTCAACACAAATTTCACATTTTTTGTGTGATTCAATTTTAGAATTAGGAATTAATTCTAAGTTTATCAACCGTTTAATTGCATTTAGATTCACATGTCCTAATCTAATATGTCATAAATCAGAGCACTCTACGATATAAACAGAAGTACGATTTTCATTATCATTAGAAACGGTTACACGACTCACAGCCATTACATTCATTTTAAATAAACCATTGTCGAGATACCCCCGACCAAGGAAATTACCATACTTGCTAAGAATAAACTTCTTAGCTTCAAACACTAACTTAAAACCATGCTCTACAAGAAGAGATCCGGAGACCAAATTCTTGCGGCTGTCTGGGACATGCAGCACATCCTTAAGCTTCAACTCCTTTCCAGAAGTCAGCTTCAGCACCACGATGCCAACTCCAGCCACATCAGACGAGGAGGAGTTGCCCATGTAGAGCTTCCGACCATTTGAAGGAGTGTAGTCAGAAAACAACCCCTTGTCGGAACACACGTGGCGAGTGGCACCAGTATCAATGTACCACGCCCTTGGGTTATCCACCAAATTGGCTTCAAACACCACAGCCGACATATCCATGTCGGTTAGTTCACTCGGCACAGGGCCGTGTTCAGCAATGAGGGCACCATGTTGTGACTTCTTCAGACCAGCCTTTTTAGGCTTCTTGCAGTCCTTAGCCATATGGTTCGGCTTTCCATAGTTGTGGCAATTGCCGGTAAATTTCCACACTTTGGCAGGCTGCTGCTTCCCTTTCTTAAGGGGCTTCCTTTTGCTCGAGTTGCCTTGCTCCAGCAAGTTGGCACGAGCTTCCATCATCGGGGCCTTCCCCGAAGACTTCTGATTGTCCTCTTCAATCCGAATACGAACAACCAGATCTTCAAGATTCATCTCCTTCCTCATGTGCTTGAGGTAGTTCTTGAAGTCTTTCCAACCCGGCGGCAATTTCTCGATCACAGCCGCAACTTGGAATGACTCGCTCAGAGACATTCCTTCAGCATGAATGTCGTGCAAGATGAGTTGGAACTCTTGCACTTGAGACACGACGGTCTTAGTGTCGACCATCTTGAACTGTAGAAATTTGCCGACGACGAATTTCTTCGCCCCGGCATCCTCAGTTTTGTATTTCTTCTCCAAGGTAGCCCAAAGCTCCTTGGCAGAGCCAACCGAGCTATACACATTGTAAAACTCGTTACTCAGTCCGTTGAGGACATAGTTCCGGCAAAGGTAATCACCTTGCCCCCAAGCATCGTATGCAGCTCGCAGCTCAGCATTCGATTCATTTTCAGCCACGATAGGAGGGTCGTCTTTCAGGTACTTTACCAAACCCAAAGTGGTCTGGTAGAAGTGCATCTTCTGTTGCCACATCTTGAAATCAAGCCCGTTGAATTTTTCGGGCTTCTCAGCAGTGGGAACATGAACAACAGGTTGGGGATGATGAACAGCGGGGGTGACAGGTGGTTGAGTTTTCGATCCTTCTGCAGTGGATGCCATCAGTTCAGTAGGTGTCGAATATTTGTCTTGCGATTGTTACACAATTTTTGTCTTGAATTACAACGGGAACCTATAAACGGACTGAAGTGTTCAGTTCGTACGAAAAGAACTAAAACAAAATAAAAATTACAACTCAAATGAGGACAGATTGAAAGCCGAGGCGATTGAAATCTTTCCGCAAGACAAATACGCCCCATATAGTGTTGACGGGTCTTTGCGTAATGTCCCCAAAGATACAACGGCAATACACTTGGAAGCTGTAGCACACCAGCCTTCAGAGTTCCAGCGAACGGATTCGAAGACGAGAACTGAGCACTATGATATGATGTGTGAGGCTTTGAGAGTGTTCAGATTGCATGAAAATGTTATCTTCTTTTCTCTGGAGCTCTAAGTCCTATTTATAGGACTTCCACATCTTGAGGGAAACCAACAAGCACATCTGCCACTTAAGGCAGAGATAATGAGCCCAAAAACATTTCTGGTGTTACTACACCATAAACCAGGTGTAGAGAAAAGAAGATAACATTTTCATTAGAATTGGATTTTTCAGTTCGGCCTAAAGTTGCAAATAAATTTGCAGCAAAAAGATATATAGTGATTGGGCCCAAGGCCCAAGCGCCCAAGGCCGCCCAAGTTCAGCCCAAAGTCCAATTGCTAAGAACCAAGAACCATGGACCAAGGACCAAGGACCAAGGCCCAAGTCTGGGCCCGTGCCCGAGCCCGAGCCGGCCGGCCGGCCGGCCGGTGTGATGAAGGATCGGGTGTTGCGTTCCCTTGACTTGTCTCGATCACGGCTTCGCCACGGCCTTGCTCTCGACGATAGGTGTGATCGACTCGGTTATTAGCCTAACTCTCTCACGATACTTGAGTTCACTCAGGTATTAGCCTCGCTACACTCTCGAAATAGATCGGGTCTTAGCCTCTCTAAATCGTTGAACTGGCTCGGGTCTTAGCCTCACCAATTCGATTGCATGATCGAATCTCACGACTCTAACACACGGTTTCGAACAAACGTTCTTTTCTATTCAACTCATCCAAGACATGAAAAACAATGAGGGAACATACCTATTTATAGATCCTAACTATGACTAATTCTAATCTACCTAGGGAACATATTAAAGCAATAAAATATTAAATTCCTAAACATTCTAGATATTATTGTGCAAGAAGGAAA